ACTCCAGAATTTGAATTGTTGAAGGACAGCAACATTTCATTGTATGGCTTCAGAAACAGCATTTGTAAGGGACCTTTTCTTGACCCCTCTCACCCCAAGTATCACAGAGACATTATAGCTGTGGAATAAAAACAAAAATTCTCTTCCCTCTTTAACCAAAAAGTAGTCATAATAATTACTGTTGTCTTAGTTTTATCTTTATTGGGTCATCTCCTGCTGCCTACCACACGGTTGTGCATGTGCTGCTCTAGGCCTCATATCAGTTAAATAACTCCACTAGCTCAGACAAAACCAGTCTTTGGGAAGTGTGTTTTGTAAGTCTCTTTTTACATGGCTTTCTTAACCACAGTATGCTTCCCCCAGGTGTGGCCAGTGAGCTTGTCTTCACTTCACAAGCTGAAGAGAAACAGTAGAGAACCAGATAGCTGTGCTCTGTGTTTCCAAAAGCAGGCTACAAACACTCAACTCTTGTATGCATTGGGTCCTATGTACTTAAGTATAAGCATCCTGACTGTTTCCTTGTAATACAGACATCTAGTATGACTTTTTTTTCAGTTTGGGAGTTACAGTGATTTGAAAGAGCACAAATTTGATGTGACTGCTATTGGTATTCAGGTTGTATGTACAAACTGCACTATACTGTACTTTTTGTAAACTAATGTAAGTAGACGAAAAGATTGTACAACGTGTAGATCTGCCAACTGTAAGAAAAACAAACTTTACATAAACTGAGAATATATTGATTTTTCTTCCTTTTTTTTTTAAATAACCCCAAAACACCAAAGTTAGAGAGCAATCATTTTGGAACAGTCAGTACTTACCACTGCTTGTTAGATTGCTGAGATAACATGCATTTCATTTCCTGTTTGCAGAACTAGCTGCATGGAAGTGGCTAGTGATGGCCTTTTTGTGTTCCCAGTCATTCATACGAGCAAAAGAAATTGCTTTTGGTGGGTGGGGGAGCATTATCTTTGCATAAACACACTGCCTGTACTTTTTCTACTTCCTTTGTAGCATAAGAATGCATTTAAGTCCTAAGAGGTAGATCACTTTAAATGGCACCTACATTGTTTCATGGGGAAAAAAAATGTTTTGATTATTTGCGAGATAAGTATTGTATGTGTTGATTGTACACAGATTTTTTGCAATGCCCAATGGCTCACTGTTTCTATGGTGACTTCATCGTACATGTCCATTTCTATCATGCATTTAAATTGTTTTTTATTTGTACATAGTCCATTTAGTCTTTTCATCTTTATATAAACTGAAAATATGGAATACATAATAGATCAAGATGCTTAATTTTTAAGAACTTATATTTGTAAAAATTTCTCTATTGTGAATAAAGTCTTTTAATATATCTGTTCAACTTGTTATAATTTTTCCTAAGTGTGTTGCAGACGTAACTGCAGGAATCTGCTGCATAGTCTGGTTTGGCTCCAATGAATTTTGGTCACTATATTGGTTTGATACAGATTAGTACTCTGTGTACTTGTTAAGATACTACTGTTAATTAATGCTAGTGTATAGAATTGCTGCCACAGAAATAAATTCCTAGAAATTTTTTGTCAATAAAATTCATCCTACCTGATGTATTTTGGTAGAAAGTGAGCTTACTAATGAGAAGCAGGAAGCTGGAAAGTCACAGGCAGCAAGCACAGTGAAGGTCAGGCACTCCAATTTGTGTTCTGCACAACACAAGCAGGCTTCAGCTAAATGCCATTTAGGAGCAAAGACAGAAGAGGAGCTGACAAAGCTGTCACAGTGCCCAGCCTTACATGATCATGTAATGAAACACTATCGTTAGCCCATGCTCCAGAGGAGAGAGGAACAGTTGTCATAGGAACTGTAACTACATTTTGTGGCTGTAAGATCTCCAGTCTAAATATTGAAATAACAGCTACACCTCACAGATAACCTTGTTTTCTGTTTAGTAGAAAGCATCATCCAAAGATGACAATGAAATAAACTGCCATGATTTACAGAACAGTCTCAGTAGTATCAATTTCTGTCAAAGGACTCACTCATTAGACCTGCTTAAGTAATTTTTGGGGTTAGCTCTCAGATCTGGTGTCTCATTTTTTCAGCATAGATATGGGTGTGCAGCTCCCCAGTGCAATCCTGGGGTAGCCAACAGGCTGTCCTCCTCCTGTAGTGGCTCCAGGACCACAGAAAGTACTACTCAATGAGTTAAACATGAGCTAATGGACACCTCGGTGCAGCACGTTATACACAAGAGATGTAAATACAAGCCTGGGTTACAATTTCAACCAATTTGATCTCTTAATTGGATGCTTGGTGTGGTTTGCTTTCTGCAGGAGGAAAAGGAAATAGGACTGAGCCGACAATTAGTCGAGACAAACAGGGTTTGCCCCACTGTCTGCATTGCCCTATGGCCTGCTATATCACAGGGAGAAATCAGCACTCATATGAGAGCATCTGCTATGGAAACAGCCCTTCATCTGATCCGCCTTAATCTTGGGATTAGTCTGTCCTCGATCTCAAATGCAGGAGGAAAGATTATGCATCAAAAAGCAGTCTGCCAAACCCAGGAACCAGTCATCAAGACTCAGGAGTTCCTGTCTGAATACTGCGAGAAGAGATAAAACACAGGGTTTTGCTCTTTCCTGGTTTTATGCATTCATACATGCACAAAGTGGAGAATGGAGTAAGTCACTCAGCTGCAGAATTCAGTCAAAGCCTAGCAGGTTGTTTGCATTCAACAGTACCTCAAGAGCCAGCAGTTTGACCCTCGTTTCTGAGGTGTCTGCTCCTCTATCTGCACCAGCTTTCACTCACCTTGTAATTAAATCACCATAATCAAACTTTCTTTTGGAAGCCCCTCTAAAGCTTTCACATGCTGTCCGCATTTTCGGTGCACACTTTGTGGCTGTTTTGTGGAAGGTGGTTTGCCTTTCACCATTCCCAAAGTGACATTCTACAGGACATTAAAGAACCGTCTCACTATTGATATTTTATCCCTTCACTTCAATTGTACATTGCTTTCACACCATCAACCAGGTTAGCACAGAGCTACTCTTAGTCTTGAGTACCTGAAGTTAAAAAAAAGCAAAAATAAAGTTATCAGGATGACTATTATACTGTCTCATTCTGGCCACTGATTCGTCTGCCAAGGAGCATCACCTTATGACAAGGGGACTTGCTGGTACTCCAGAAGCCTAGAGAGGTGTTATGATTGGCAATGCACAGGACGGAATCGTACAACAGTTTGGGTTGTAAGGGACCTTAAAGATCATCTGGTCCAAACCCCTTGATGTGGGCAGGGACACCTCCCTCTAGACCAGGTTG